ATAACCTGCAGCACGTCTCCACTCAGAGGCCCTCTCCTCCTCCTCCTCCTCCTCGTCTCTGGAGCAGGCTGCGGGAAACGACACCTCGAATCTCCCTGAGCCTTTTCCCCCTTCTAGCCTGTTGCTTATTTCCTAGAGAAAATCCTGGGCATGTGCCCTGCATGCCACACGTGGAAATTATTTAAGGGACTGGATTAAACTACAGTTTGCTCAGATCTGTAGGAATTCTGACAGGGGAGACTCAGATCACAGAAAGCATTGAGACTGCGGGATATAAAAATGAGTCAACAAGTCTGGAGTAAATATGCGGCTGCCTTAACGTTCTGCTCACTGCAACGCGCTACACCCCGATCACAAATCACAGCGATTCACGACCAGCCGTATCGACACAAGAGGCACTTTTACATCCCACAGCCATTGTAACGCACAGAATGTAGCAGTCAGGTTTAAAACTGGGAAATGAAAGGGAGTGTGTGTGTTTGTAAAACAAGCAACCCATTTGAACTAGAGCAGCACGCTCACCCGCTAGACCAATGTTTATGGTAGCACTCAGTATTATCCATTTACAATTCTACTTTGCTTGAATGACTTTCGAAAAAAATTTGCACTCAAATTTACATGTTAAATCACTACGAATAGATAATGGTGAACTGATCTACCGGCAAACAGGCTACAAAAAGTTCAAAGGACATCCAAAAATCTCCAAAGGGAAGACATTGAAATGGTACTTATTAAACACTGGGTACCTAGCTTGTGCTGCTACCATAATAAAGTGATGCCAAGTTTTTGGGGTTTTTTTCTTTTCAAACCCTCTAGAGATTCTGCTAGAATTCTCTGAAGATGTTATTGGCTAACAGGTCACTTAAACTGACTGGACATTTGGAAAAACACTATCGGCAACAAAGAAGAACAACATATACACACCTTGCATCACAGACTTCTAATTCAAAACCACAAGGTTTCACCCCACATATGAAGTGATAGTTGTATAAACTCTCTATACATAAAGTCATGCTGTACAATTTTTTTTATTATTATTGTTTGGCAAGTGGAAAAGAAAAGCTAACTTCAGGATAGTTTCAGGTTTTTAAGGCTAAACCTGCTCTCTGTTTTTGGCAGATCACGCAGAAGCCTGGCAGATGCTACTTCCCTCCAGTGGGGAACTGCACTTCGTTTGTTGGTAGTTTACATGAATATGCTGTGCTTGCAGCATTTAAGAGGATGCAGGTACTTATATCTAGACACACTGTGCTGCATCCAAGACTTCTGTTCTGCAGTTTCCCACCACTGCATCAGGCTGAACAGTCTGATCCTGAGAAAGCAGGCGTTTGGCATTTCTTTAGTCTGTGAGCAGACAGGGAGTTTAATTAATTTGCTTTAAATCTTATGTTTCAGTTTACTTATTTATAGATCAACAAAATGCATAGCCAATGTATAAATCTTTAAAGCCATCAGAATACCATGCTCAGTACGGAGAATCAATACCTTGGAACAATCTGGCCAAAGGTTTAAAAGCCCAAGTAAACAGGATGTCTACTTGCATACTTTTTACATCTGCATTTACCAAAGTTACTAACTGCCACAGTTTTGTTGAAGAATGCATTATATGTATCTACTTTTAGAGCCAAACTATTTTTCAGTATAAATCCAAAGCAACCCGTGAGTATCACCATAATGGGTGCTAAGTCAAAAGGCACTATTCTCTCATTTTTACCTGCTGCTAGAAAAAGTCAGTATCTACTTACATCACTGTATCTATTCCATAAAATCCTAAATTTCAACCTTCTATATATTTCAATAGTTTAGAGTACCAAGAACTTGAGAGCATTAAACCTCATTTTGGTAAATTTAGGAACGACACAGAAAAGGACTCTCTACTGTCTTCTCATTTCTGCCATTATTTCTACCCAGGATCCTGAATCAGAGAGTTCTCTACCAGGTGTCCAGGAAACTTTCTAAACTTTTGCACAAGGTAAACGACAAAGGGCAGTGGAGAATCAGAAGAAGACAGTATGTACAGAACTATGCTATTTAGCTAACGCTGCCTCACTTTTGGTTTGCAAAAGTTACGCTGCTCAGACTCCTATACAAAAGCAAATAATGTCAGAACACCCCAATTCTTCTCTGGAGCCACTGCACCGTTACGCTGGGTTTTCCAGTTCCAGCCTCGCTTTCCGAACCGTCACAGGTAGCAAACACTGCCTCGACACTGCGCAGTACTGGGGTCTGGGCGGCCGATTTTACAGTGGTCAAGCTGCACTCCTGCAACGCAGGAGCCGAGCTGAATCAGGAGCACCACTCAGGTGAGCAGCTGAAAGCAGCGAGCTCTAGTCCACAGCTTTTCCTTCAGCTTTACACCCATCCCAGCCGCACCGGGCCATTTGCAACACGGACAGTTCAAACCTATCCAGATACCCGCGGCCTTCTTGGCCGTTACACCAGGAGAGAAGACGAACCCCATCTCCCGACATGCTCCAAGAGCCTTTTCAGGACTATCGCAGACGGGACGGGTCAGACGGGCTCCGAAACGGGGGATTACTCTGCAAGGACGCGGGGCAAACTTCAGCTGAGGAAACTTTCATACGGCACAAACAAAGATCAGTGCAAAAGTATATCCGACCTCCCTCTTTTCCGACCTTTGCCTTGACCAAGGGTTAGCAGCCCGGGCAGCCGACCCGCGCGAGCCGGCGGGAACGCTTCTCGTTTCCCTGGGGCGAGGGGACCGACCCAGGCTCGCTGGTTCCCTGGCTGACCAGTCGCTGGCCTGCTAACGCAGTCTGAACCCCTGCTGCTTGTGCTGGTTTTTGTCCGCGTGCCTCACCCGTCAAGACGGTTCACGTGAAAGACCGCACCGGTGGATCAGAGAGGCCTGGCTGAGCCCCGTCCGGGGCCGCCCGCAGCACCCCGCTTCCTCGCCAGCCGCTCTCACTTCGCCCAAACCCCCACCACCGCTCACTTGCTTTTTTATGTGTTGATGTTGCTCCTCGGTTATAGGCAAGAGAAAACCTGTTGTGTCTACGGTAACTCTGAACCGGGCGTCCGTGGTGACTGCTAATGATTGCTGTGAGGCAAGATCTTACAACTTTGAGTCATTAGACAGCAGATGAGCCCTGAGCAGACAGTCACCGTAACGAACGTTTTACGCTCAAGGAAGCTCTCGGGGGGCAGCGCCCGTCCCCTGCGCTCCTCCGCTGTGGGACACCCCAACGCTGCTGAGCGACAGCAACGACTCACGGCGTTCGCTGCGTCGCTGGCGGCGAAGGGCCACCCCGGAGCCACGAATTAAAGGTATTCAGGCAGCTAGATAGGTAGTTGTCCCAACTTCACATCTGCGTTCCTGCGTGGATATGACCCAGAGAGGAAGGCCCAGAATTTCAGGTTATTTAATGATAGAAGCGGAGCAGGTACGTCCCCGAGAGCTGAATCAAGAGTGACCTCACCCGGGGGGGCACGGGCGGCTTTGGGAAGCGGCAGCTCGAGGGCACGGTGGCGAGGCCCTGGGCCAGGGCTGCCGGGCTTGGCCTTAAGCAGAACAAAGCAAAACATCCTCCACTGCAGACAAGATATTCTGGGTTTCCTTAGTTTTGGGGAGGGAGAGGGGGAGGGTGATCTGTGCTTTTGGAAGTCTACGCAGTTCCTGGTTACTTCTTCCCTTCCTCCTTTGCCGGCTAGTTGCACTAGGAAGCATCTGCTGAAGCAGCAAAATCCTGTTACATCATGTATTTGCAGTGCTTGCATGAGAATTTATAAGGATTAAAAAGGGGAAATGGTTTTGACCAAAGTGATGAAGAAAGAGAAAGCATTTAACAAGGAGGCTTGTTAAAACACCTTTTGTTTTTTATTTTATTTTTGCCCTAGACTTAACAGGGTTTTTCATCTTTTGGTAGGCTATTAGCAGCCTAGACATATGTGGTATCTACTGTCTCATTCATATTCGTCTTTGTCATTGCAGTCATCCAGATTGGACTATTCCAGTCACTGACTCTGGTAACAAAGAAGCTCTAAGTTATTCTTAATAACAGGGCATCAGCTAAACCCATTAATACCAGCTAAATCAACCAGCTACCAACAAGGCCAGCATATCTGATTAGACTCTGCAGAACAGATTTTTTTATTTGTCTTCCCTTAGCCTGATGCAATCGTAGCATTCATAGCTAGTGTGCTAGCAAACGTTTTTGGCCACATTTTAAGATGTATTTGTAAAAGCAGAAAAGATGTGAGAAATGACACAGGGAAAGAATATCTATGGCTCTTGGAAAAAAAAAAAATCTAAACAAAAAGAAAGTTCAGTAAATTGTTAAAATATATAGGATTGCACAGTTTCAGATGACAGCAGAATCTAGTCCAGAAACATCCGATGCGCTCAGACGGTACTTCCGAACAAAGTGAGTCCCTTCACAAAGTCAACAGTGAAATTTACATTTAATTGGCAAATCTCACCGTTACCAAACAACAACAACAAAAGGTGAAGGATTAAAGAGTATTTCTGGATTGAGAACTCTCTTACTGCAGCAGCGGGCCAGCCTCGGAAGCAGCGGTCACTAAGACGGGACGTGTGCTGCCCCGGGCTACGCTCCACCTGTTCTCTGCAGCAAGGAAATAATCAAGCATCGCCCCCAAAACAAGATCATTCTCCTGAAAGGAGCGCGGCGCCCGGTACGGTTTCACAGGTCGGGCAGCAGTTACGCGGTCCGTACCTCGCTCGCAG